TTCTTAGGTCCTACCACCACTCAGGAATCTCCAAGCTGTCTGTACCTTCAGGATCACTGCCAGACCACAGCTCCGTATGTCTCCTTTTTTGGTATTTTCACACAAATTCTTCTGCTAGTTGGGGTTTAGTCTACTTCTATATCCTTCCCTTCAAGGCTCAGGGGTCCAAGATTATCTTTTGTGTCTGTGTCAATTGGATTCCCTTTTCTTTGTTGAAGAGGGTCTGTGCAGTTTTTCTTCCTAGTCTGCCATCTTGCCGGAACTCCCAGATTCATTTTCCATACAGCATTTCATACACATTTTGTTTCATGACATTGACTGCAATTCCCACAATGTAACAGTTCTCTTCCCACTTCCTCCCTGTAGTTACCTCTTTCTTGTATCCTTCCCTCTCCTGCACTACACCCACCCACAGCCGCCTCCCTGTGCAAATACTGCCCCTCTGTTCTCCCATGATTGATTGATTGCTCCAAGAAGTGTATCTACCTGATGTAAATGTTCACCCCAAATTCCTGTCTATTGTTTGGCTGGAAGCCGGAAGCCACAGGAGTGAGTTCAGTTCCAGACCTGAAGCGTAACTAGGGGCCATAGTCTCAGGGGTCTCACAAAGCTCTGTCAGACCAGCAAACCTGGCACAATGGCTAAGGCACTTGACTGCTAACCAGAAGACTGGGGGTTCAAACCCACCAGCCACTCCTCAGAAGGAAGATGGAGCAATCTATTTCCATAGTGATACTGCCTTGGAAACCCAAGGAGGAGTCGCTATGAGTTGCGTCTGACTCGACGGCACATAACAACAACAACAACAACATGATTTTTAGTTTTGTTTCACATTGTTTCTCCACTCTACTCAGGATCTCCTGCACTGTTCCCTTTAAGAGTGGTTGACAATGGTAGCAAGGCACAATCTAGTTCTTCTGATCTCATGGTCAGATAGGCTGAGGATCACCTGATCTACCAGTCCCTTGGTAGATTGTTTCCATGTGTCTTTGGTTTTCTTCATTCTTCTTTGCTCTGGATGAGGAGAGACCCATCGCTGCATCTAGATGGCTGTTTGCAAGCTTTTAAGATCCCAGTTGTTACTCACCAAAGTACAATATGTTGTTGTTATGTGCCGTCGAGTCAGACTCGACTCATAGCAACCCCTCTTTGGGTTTCTGAGGCAATATAGGACTATGTTTTTTGTAGTACGTTATGCCAGTTGAGCTTGATGTCCCTTGTGACCATGATCCTGAGCTCTAACATAAAGAGTTGGAGATCTGGGATTGTCCGGTTTGCATTGAAATCTCAGATGGGGTCTTGCTAGCTGGATAATTTCTGGAAAGTTTACTTGGAGTTTTCATTTCTACAGTTGTAGAAGAAACAGGGTTGTGAGAATCAAAAGAGGTCATGTAAAAATGATGTGCAAAGGGCTCTGTGGTTGTGGCTTACTACACAACCAGAACTTGCTCAAGTCTCAAAAATTTAGCCAGCATGAACAACAGTTTCCCACTACTGTCAAGCCAATTCTAACTGTAAATGACCCCATATGACAGAGTAGAACTGCCCCATAGGTTTTTCCAAGGCTATAATCTTTACAAGACCAGACAACCACATCTTTCTTCCATGGAACAGCTGATGGGCTCCAACTGCCGACCTTTCAGTTAGCATGTTAGCACTCAACAATTGTGCCACCAGGGGTACTTGCACAATAGGAGTGAGGATATCCCAGTGTCAAACTCACAGCTATCACAGCAGTTTGTCCATCAGCAAAATGAATAAACTCCTTCACATGTCCCTATCTACTATATCCATTACCAGTAGATGGAATATTTTATTGACAATCAGCAGCATCATTCATCCCACTACAGTAGGTCCCAAACTTTCCTGCATATTGGAATGAGCTGGATGTTCATGGGATGTTTTGAAATATCCCAATACCCAGGTAGTACCTAATACCAATTAAATCAAAATCCAAGCTTCTAGGGTGAGGTCCAGGTATGAGCAGTTTTTAAAGACCCTCTGATGATTCCACTATATAACAAAGTTTGGGAACCATTATCCAACTTAGTCACCTGAGACCACCTTTCAACTCCTTGGTTCTAATGTATATGCAAATCTGAAATTGAGCCAAAGCTGAGAACACCAAATTAGGAACCGCTTCATCTCTCTTCAGTCAGCCTGATAATGTCCCACCCTCAACCCTTGCATGCAACTGGGAGATGTGACCCAAGAGGAGATAGAGGGAACCCTGGGGTGGGTAGGTAAGCCTAGGCTCCAGGAGAGTGCAGAAAGCCCTTCCCGAAATGGATGGTCAATACTAGTTGCTGTTGAATCAATTCCAACTCATGGTGACTCGTGTGAGAGTAGAACTGTGCTCTGTAGGGTTTTCAGTGGCTGACTTTTTGGAAGTAGGTGGCCAGGTCTTTCTTCTGAAGCACCTTGGAGTGAATTCAAAGCTCCAAACTTTTAGTTAGCTGCCAAGTACTTAACCACCCAGGGATTCCAAGGACTCCATAGGGGTAATATAAAAAGGGATTTCAAGAGCAAATTTGGCTATTTCTGGGATAACCAAAGACCAGTAGATTTCTTCACTGTAGTATTTCTCAGACTCTTTAAGTTGGAATGATGATCAATCTACAGGGTATGTTGTAGCAGCATTCCCCCTGTTAATTTTACCACAGAGACCTTTGTTTTTCTCAGAGCATTTCAAAGACTACTTCAAGAAATATACTTCGAAAAACCTACAGCAGTGGTTCTCAATGGGGATGGGGGACATTTTGCATGTGTGTTGGGGGGGGGCATGTTCAGTGTTCATTTGACAATATTTGGAGACATTGTGAGTGTCCCAGCTGGCACTGGGGTGGCTATTACTGGTATCTAGTGGGTAGAGCCAGGGATGCTGTTAAATATCCTACAATGCACAAGACAACGCCCACAACAAAGAATTATCCAGCCCCAAACGTGGTAGTTAAAAAAACCCTAGAGCTACTTCTCCCAAAGACCCACTCTTACCCCATAGCCTCAGAAACTGAAAATGATGAAGGAAGCTAGGAGGCGACAGAGGAAAAGAAAAGAAAAAAGGGACAAAGGGGAAAAGAAAAGAGAGAATAAAGAAAGCAGGAGGAAAGAAGAGACTGGGGTAGTGAATAAAAGAGAAAAATAAATCCAAAATACACTGATGTTGACTGGCTTCAGCCTCCTCATTCATGCCTTTATTATTTCTCTGAGATTAGGGAGGCCAGTAATTCTTCTCTTCAGCAGGCACCACCTCCCAGGGGAAGGTCAGGAGGACTAAGGAAGGTGGGAGACTGTCTTTGCCCGAGTGTTCTGAGTGTTCCGTGCCCCGAGCTCTGTGCCTCTGCGTGCCTCAGCGGCTTCAGATCCGGCTGGGCTTCTTAGGCTCCTTGTCCTTGGCAGGCATGAAGGCGTATAGCTCCTCGAGGAGCATCTGCATCCGCGCAGTGACTTGCGTCACCGTGTCGATGACCAGCTTTTGCTGCAGTTTCAGCTTGTTGTTCTCCCACAGGGCCTTGTTCTCCTCCTGGAAGACCCTGTGCTCCTCGCGCAGCGCGTGCAGCACCCGGTTCTCCTCCTGCAGCAGCTGGTTCTCCTCGCGGAGGACTTGGAGGTTCCGGTTCTCCTCCTCGCGCAGAGCGTGAAGCGCCTGGTTCATCTCCTGCAGCAGCTGCATGGGCTGGTCCCCTTCCGGCAGGCCCGCGCTGCCCTTACTCTGCTCCTCCTCCTCGGAAGCACTCACTAGGTTGTTGACCATTTGACGTAGGGCTCGGAGGGTCTTGGAATTGTCCTGTGCCCTGGGGTGCCCTCTAGGCTCATCGAAGGGAGAGGAGAGGCCTGTGGCCTGGTCGGGCAGCAGCCCGGGGCTGTGGGGCTCTTCGTGAGGCGAGGATACCGGTTTGTTCTCCTCCGCAGGGGCTGCCTTGTCTTCCGTCTGGGCCCAGTAGGCCCTTCTCTGCTCCAGCAGCTGCTGCAGGGTCCGGTTCTCCTCACGGAGGAGCTGTAGGGCGCTGTTCTCTTTGCTGCGCTGCACCTGTAGGGCCGAGTCCTCCTTCGAAACCTCGACTGCCATGTTATCTTTGTGCAGCGGCGCCGGGGGCGACGGCTGGGAGGTCCCGCTTTCCTCGCGGCCTAGCGCGACCTTGTGCTCCTCCCAGAAGGCCTGCAGGATCTTGTTCTCCTTGCGCAGGGTCTTGTTCTCCTCTCTCAGCGCCTTGTTCTCCTCGCGCAGGGACTTGTTCTCTTCCTGCAGCAGGTACTCTTTAGCCATCCGCCTGTGGTACAGCCTGTGGTGGAAGGAGGAGGAGGGCGAGAAGTAAGGAGACTGCAGCCGGCAGTTCTCGTTCACCCACCGCCCGTCCTGGAAGACGAACATCTCGTCGCTGAGCTGAACGCGGGGAGGGTTGTAATCCAGGTCGAGGTCAGCTTGAGAGGTGGGGCGCTCCATGGCGTCCAAGGGCACGGAGGAGAAGCGGTTCAGCGGGTATGAATGCTGGCTGACGACCCTGCGGCTCACCCTGGGCAGGGCAGCCTGCCGCGCGCACCGCGGAGTGGTGTACAAGTTGTGGAACCTCAAGAAGGGCTCAGCTGTGCTCCTCTGTGGGAGAGAACAAGAAAGGCCGGCTTTAAAGGAGGATTTGACAAACCCAGCGCTGGCTGAGACCCTAAAGTAGCCCAGTGTGGGATGCACCCTGGAAAAGAGGCAACATTGGCAACAGTTCATTTAAGTATAAGAGCATCTGGCGCAGCCACATGGGTCCCTGGGTGGCTCAACAAAGTGTTTAGCAGCTAACTGAAAGGTTAGAGGTTGGAATTCACCCAAAGGTGCCTTGGAAGAAAGACTTGGCGATCTATGTCTGAAAGATCACAACCTTTGAAAACCCTATGGAGCACAGTTCTACTCTGACACATGTGGGGCCACTGTGGGTCAAAATTAACAAGAGGGCAACTGGGTTTTGGTTTGGCCACTGTGGGCACTTTTGCACTTGACCATTTGGGATCCTCACAAGAACGTGTATTATAGGGTGGTACACTCCAAAGGCACGAACTTTAAAGTCAATCAAGTCTTTTGAGCCCTTGCCCCATCATTTACCAGTCATAAGAACCCAAACCAGTTGCAGTGAGTTGATACTGACTCATGGTGACCCCTGTATATCAGAGTAGAACTAACTGTGCTCTATAGCTTTTGAATGGCTCATTCTTCAGAAGTAGATACCAGGTCTTTTCTCTGAGGTGTCTCTGCTTGCACTGGAACCTATCTTTTCAGTCAGCAGCCAAATGTGTTAACCGTTTGCACCACTCCACCAAACCAGACTCACTGCCATCGACTCTGTTCCAACTCAGAGACCCCCATAGGGTTTCCAAAGCTGTAAATCTTTACAGAGACTGCCTCATCTTTCTTCCATGGAGTGGCTGGTAGGTTCGAACCACTGACCTTTTGGTTAGCAGCCAAATACCTTAACCACTACACCACCAGTGCCTAAGGCATTTGACTGCTAACCAAAAGTCTGGCCGTTCAAGCCTTCCAGCCACTCCATGGAAGGAAGACTGGGCAATCTACTTCTGTAAAGATTTACTGCCTCAGAAACCCAATGGGGGTCGCTGTGAGCTAGTATCAACTCAATGACAGTGGGTGGGTTAGAAACTTCAAACAAGGTCTGACAATTAAGCAGAAGGGCCCAGCTTGGCTCGGTCACCAGTGTATACCTGGGAAATGGAACTAAATTCCTCTGTGCCTCAGCTTCCTCATCTCTAGGATGGGGTTGATGATCTCTAACTCACAGCTTTGCTGTGAGAATTAAATGATAATGCATTCAATGTGCTAGTTGTGGAGCCTGGTTTCTGAAAGCGTTGCATGAATAGTGTCTCTTGTAACACTACCTTAATAGCCATTGTCAGTTGTGTGACAGATGAAGAAACCGAGTCCCAGGAAGTGAATCACTTGTCTAGACTCCAGAGTCTTCTTGCAGGCTGGGTCAAGGATGGAACTTACATTTTTTTCCTTACCAAGCCACCTGGGATCATAGTGTGGACACCTGCAATACTCAGGAAAAGCCAGAAAACACCACCTCTCTAGGAAGAAGATGTAACTCTCTTAAATGAATCAGGCACCTAAAGGTGGATTTCTCCAGAAGGTGGAATGCATGGGTACATCCCCGGCAAGCACCAACACTTGTGGGTGAGTAATTCACCACAGTGGCCTTGAACCTTAAGACACTGCATGAAAAGGAGATCCTGTCCACAGAGCTTCAATTCAACCTGCCAGTGGCTTTCACACTTCCCTGAACAGAAGAATGACCTGAGTGAGATTGAAGAGAGATTTCTGAGTCCTCCATCTGCAGTCTTATTCACTCAACCTGGGATACAGTTCTGGAATCTGTATCATCAGCTCCCATGGGTGTTTTTGCTGCAGATGATCAGGACTTCTCTCAGTCAGGTAAAAGGGGCAGTTTGCCCAGGTGAAGGTACACCAGACTGGGACCACAAACTTTGGATTCTCATCCTGGTTCTGTCATCGATGGGCAGAGTGACAATGAAGAGCTCTCTCACCCTCTCTGAGATGCCTGTTTATTACTGTTAAAAAAGTGTTCCTGGGTGGCACATATGGTTAAGTGCTTGGTTACTAGCCAAAATGTTGGCGGTTCGAACCTACTCAGAGGTACCTCAGAAGAAAGGACTGGCAATCTGCTTCCAAAAGGTCATAGCCTAGAAAACCCTATGGAGCAGTTCTGCTCTGCATACATGGTATCACTATGAGTTGGAATAGACTCAAAGGCTACTAACAACAAAAACAACAGCAAAAAGGAGGAAATTAGACACCTTGATCTCAAAGGCACCTTCCCAACATCGAAAGTCAATGAAATGTGCCCGTAAAATGGAAGCATGCTTAGTTCACAACACCATTGTGAGGCTTGAATGTAATAATGAGTGAAAAAGTATTTTTAAAGCTGCCAACTGCTATAGTAATATAAGATACTGTTATCAAGAGAAGTAGATTTCACTAATGGAAGAATTCTGAGATGTATTCAAAACAGTGATGGACACCTGGAAACTACCTTGGAGAAGAGGTGACAGTTGCAACAGTGAATTCAAATAAAAATAAGATCTGATAGCTACTTCAAAAGACACCAAAACATTCCATCCAAGTACATTTGAAATGCCCCCCAAATATCAAGTCCTCATTTCTCAGGTTTTATTACTTGATTCTACAATCAATGCCAATGGAAGCAGTAGTCAAGACATCAAAAGATGTATTGCATTGGGCAAATCTGTTGCAAAAGACCGCTTTCAAGTGTTAAAGAGCAAAGATACCTCCTTGAAGACTAAGATGCGCCTTACCCAAACCATGGTATTTTCAGTCACCTCACATGCATGTGAGAGCTGGACAATGAATTAAGAAGACTGAAGAAGAGTTGATGCTTTTGAGTTGTGGTGTTGGCGAAGAATGCTGAAGGTACCATGGACTGCAAAAAGAACTAACATATCTGTCCTGGAAGAAGTGCAGCTGGAATGCTTCTTGGAAACGAGAATGGCCAGACTGCATCTCACCTACTCTGGTCATATTGTCAGAAGGGACCATTCTCTGGAGAAGGATGTCATGCTTGGTAAAGTGGAGGGTCAACAAAGGAAAGGAAGGTCCTTGACAAGATGGATTGACACGGTGGCTGCAATGATGGACTCAAGTATAGCAGGGATCATATGGCTGGCACAGGACTGAGCAGTGTTTCATTCTGTTATGGTACATAAGGTTGCTATGATTTGGAGACAACTCGATAGCACATAACAAGAACAAACAACATTTCTCAGGTTATTTCACAATTTTACAGATAGAGAAGATGGGAAACAAGTTGCTTATCTACATACATATATAGAGATAATGTAATTTGCCAAGGACATACAGTTGGTTAGGATTTTTTCTTTTTTTTCAATTGTGTTTTGGGTGAAAGTTTACAGAGCAAATTTATTTTCCATATGGCAATTCATACACATTTTGTTTCATGACACTGACTGCAATTCTTCACATTGTGACAGCTCTCTTCCCACTTCCCCCCTATAGTTACCTCTTCCCTGTGTCCTCCTTTCCTATGCATTCTTGCCCTCTGAGCTATCTCCCTGTGCAAATACTGCCCTTCTCTTCTGTGAAAAGTTGGTTAGGATTTTTAAGACCCAAAGAGCTAGATAAATAGAAAGCACAGTTATAAGCCATTAACTTTGCAATAAGGGCATGCCAGTAGTTTTGTAAGGATATGCTTAATCTTCCAGATAGTGAGGGTGGGAGGACATTCTGCAGTCAGCTTCTTATTTAAATAAATTCAGCCTCCCTGGTTTATCCATGCCCCAATTAGGGGAGGACATTGGCTCTGGTGTGATCAGAAGAACACAGACCAGAGTTGATAGTCCAGGCAAGCATTTTCCTTGTAAGCTTCAGGTCCTTTGATGCCAGTGAATAAGGGGTGACTCTTGAGAGGTCCCTGTTTGCACTGGAACCTGTACAGAGCTCCATCTCAGCAGGATCTTGCTCTAGAAGATGTTGTTATTGTTACTGGCTGCCATTAAGTCAGCCTGGACTCCCACGCACAATGGAATGAAATGCTGCCCCAGTCCTGCACCATCCACATGGTTGGTTGTGGATCAGACCTTTGTGATCAATGGGGTTCTTATTGGCTGATTTTCAGAAGTGGATTGCCAGGCCTTTCTTCCTAGTCTATCTTAGTCTGGAAGCTCCACTGAAATCTGTTCAGCATTATAGCAACATACAGGCCCCCACTGACAATTGGGCAGTGGCTAAAAGTGGGAACAGAACCTGGGTCTTCAGCATGGAAGACGTGAATTCTACTATCAAACTACCACAATCACCCTAGAAGATATTCTCATGGGAAAATGTGGTTTTAGTCAACAGAGAAGGGAAGAAGGAAACAAATAGTGAGGCCCAGTTTTGTGCTTTTCCCTGAGCTGAGCATTTCACCACCTGAATTCATTTAATCCTCACAGCTCTGACTTACAAGGTGTTACTATTCCCATTTTATGGATAGGGAAACTGAAACTCAGAGAAGCTGAATAGCCAACACTAGGCCCCTCACTAAGACACAAGCCCTGGTCTGGTTCCCTGAACTTGTCACCTGGCAAATCACCATGGTTTTATCAAAGGACTGGGTATACTTTGGGGATCAAGATATTTTTTCTTAATTTTTTATTATGCAAAATTCCAAACATATACAAAAGGAGAGCAAATAGCCTAATAAATTCCCATGTGCCCAGCATCCCTTCACCTCAGCAATTAGCAAATGAAGGCCAAACTTGTTTTAGCCAACCTCCACCCAAGTCTACAACTGTGCCCCATCACTGGGTTATATTAAAGCAAATCACAGGCCGCATGTCATTTTCTCCGTCAATACTTGAGTGTGTATCTTTTTTACATAGCCACAAAACCATTGTTATTGTTATTGTTAGGTACCCTTGAGTGAATTCCAACTCATAGTGACCTTATTAGTCAGAGTAGAGCTGCCCTATAGGATTTCCAAGGCTGTAATCTTTATGGAAGCAGACTGCCACGTCTTTCTCCTGTGGAGTGGATAGTAGTTTCAAACCATTGTCCTT